GTGTGATTGGGTTTGCGAGGTGTGGGTGATTGGGTTTGCGAGGTGTGTGATTGGGTTTGCGAGGTGTGTGATTGGGTTTGCGAGGTGTGTGATTGGGTTTGCGAGGTGTGTGATTGGGTTTGCGAGGTGTGTGATTGGGTTTGTGAGGATTATGATTGGGTTTGTGAGGTTGTGATAGACGCTAGCGAAGCTTATCGTTCTCTGCGAATCTCCCAAACAGCGAGACAATAAGTGCCTTGCTTTCTCACACTACATCAAAACACACATCTTATATATACTATGTCTTCCGCCCACTTTCCTCACCGGCTGTTAAGTAATCTGCTCGAGAGGGAAACTGTCTCTCCCCCCCCCCCTAACTACAAATAAAACCAAGTCAATCACTTTCTTGTAAGAAAATTAAGTGACGTACAAGGCCAATATGAACAAGTTTTGTTTTCAGAAAAAGACTGTATAATGAGTCGTGAAATGAAGAAAAATGAAATGAAATGAGAAATGAAATGAATGAAATGAAGAAATGAAGACAATATTTAAAAGATATTCTCGACAAGTATTAAACAATGTTCAATGTTCCCCCAATAGTATATATTTTGTTTAGCCAAACAGATGATTAGAAAAAAAACAACAATACCCACTCTAAACAAAGAATAAGCTGAATTAAAGTATAATTCCTCTGAATTAAAGTATAATTCCTCTGAATTAAAGTATAATTCCTCTGAATAAGTATAATTCCTCTGAATTAAAGTATAATTCCTCTGAATTAAAGTATAATTCCTCTGAATTAAAGTATAATTCCTCTGAATTAAAGTATAATTCCTCTGAATTAAAGTATAATTCCTCTGAATTAAAGTATAATTCCTCTGAATTAAAGTATAATTCCTCTGAATTAAAGTATAATTCCTCTGAATTAAAGTATAATTCCTCTGAATTAAAGTATAATTCCTCTGAATTAAAGTATAATTCCTCTGAATTAAAGTATAATTCCTCTGAATTAAAGTATGTTCAGAGGAACGAAAATTAGACCGCAAACTATCAGACTGACTGATTCAACAGCCATTTATATTAAAGAATATGTATAGATATAGTTACTACCCTGCACGGTTGGTCTAACCATCAGTTGTACATAAATACAGCCTAAAACTTTAAAAAGAATCTTCAAGGTATCCAATATATCTCTAATATTGTGTGTGAAATGCGTGTTAACAGCCCATTTCACATTACTAACTATCCTAACGCTATAGTATGCAGTCAACCTCAAATATCAACTTTAATACGCATAAGGGAACTGCAGGCGGCCTGATGGTAGCCCGTCAGCCATAAACTATTTACGTCCACCCGAACACTCGCATGTATAACCTCCGCTTGAAACAACCCAGCAAACCAAGGGTTACATATTTACTCTTTACCCTCTCCTATACTACTAAACCTTCCTATTATCACGTCTTGCACGATATTCTTCGCCAGGGTGACCTACATCCCTATCTATCTATATATATATCTCTATATCTATCTATCTCTATATATATCTATATCTATATATAATCTCTATCTCTAAAAAAAAAAAAACGTTACCAATAGACTAGCGAATTATCACTACAAATATTACCGAGATGTTAATACTGCCGCCTATACTCTCGCTGGCCACTTAACACCCAGACAATTTGGCACTAAATCTCAAAAACAGCATTAAAAACAGCATTAAAAACAGCATTAAAAACAGCATTAAAAACAGCATTAAAAACAGCATTAAAAACAGCATTAAAAACAGCATTAAAAACAGCATTAAAAACAGCATTAAAAACAGCATTAAAAACAGCATTAAAAACAGCATTAAAAACAGCATTAAAAACAGCATTAAAAACAGCATTAAAACAGCATTAAAAACAGCATTAAAAACAGCATTAAAAACAGCATTAAAACAGCATTAAAAACAGCATTAAAAACAGCATTAAAAACCAGCATTAAAAACCAGCATTAAAAACCAGCATTAAAAACCAGCATTAAAAACCAGCATTAAAAACCAGCATTAAAAACCAGCATTAAAAACAGCATTAAAAACAGCATTAAAAACAGCATTAAAAACAGCATTAAAAACAGCATTAAAAACAGCATTAAAAACAGTCACTACAAAAATTATAGATACGATCAACTCTACACCCAATGCAAATTTAAAATTTAATTAAATTAACTAAGTGGCGCTTCACACTGAATTTAAACTAAATATTTTGATCAGGTATAAATTATTCGAAATCAAGATGCCATACAAGTTGTAACCATCTTTCTCCACCTGTGAGAAAGATTTCTCCATTTTCTTTTAATGATTAAATTATTACAAAAACCAGAGTCAAAGTGTGAGTGGTCGCCATAGCGAAGACATCGCTCTATGCTCGTATACACAAATAGTTTAACAGGAATGATGCGCAAGAGTCCTATTGCCAATATCAAATGATTCTTTAACTACCCCCCTTTTACGATTTATGGGACCAGTTTAAGACTCAAACTGCAATTTATTACATAATGGGAGACTTGAACCCGACTGATCATGCGGTCATTCACTTTCAATGTTGCATTCCCCCCCCCTCTCCTCCTCCCCCCCATCAACACAATTGGGGAGGGGTAGACAGAGTTAAATAAGGGAGGGGGGGGGGGGAGTTAGAAAATGGGGGGGGGGTGGATAAGATAGATAGATAATAGGAATGTCCCCAGCGGATTAACTGCGCTCTAGTAAATAATGTTTCATCATGTTTATCAACATAAATAACATTAACCTAACAATTAATTTTTAACCAAGACTGGGTAAGGGTTGGAGGTAAGGGAGGGGGGGGGGGAAAGGGAGAGGGGGGGTAAGGGAGAGGGGGGGTAAGAGGGGGGAGGGAGGGGGGGGTAAGGGAGAGGGGGGGTAAGGGAGAGGGAGGGGGGGTAAGGGAGAGGGGGGGTAAGGGAGAGGGGGGGTAAGGTAGAGGGGGGGAGGGGGGGGGTAAGGGAGAGGGGGGGTAAGGGAGAGGGGGGGTAAGGGAGAGGGGGGGTAAGGGAGGGGGGGAGAGGGGGGGTAAGGGAGAGGGGGGGTAAGGGAGAGGGGGGGTAAGGAGGGAGGGGGTAAGGAGGGAGGGGGTAAGGCGGGAGGGGGTAAGGCGGGAGGGGGTAAGGCGGGAGGGGGTAAGGGGAGGGGGTAAGGGGGGAGGTAAGGGAGGAGGGGGAAAGGGGGAATAACTAACATGACTTCACACCATTAGTGTGTGTGACATCACAATACATTCCCGAACACTGTTCGATGTTCACCATATCCCAAGTTCGGAATCTAATGGCAAACATTTCTCTAGCGACCACATTAGCACCTTGTGAGGTGTGAGATACACCTGATGTCCACCTTGGAGCCTGCGTCTATATTAAATAACAATTTGTTATTTAATTGTATCGTACAATTCGAGCATGTTGGATTGTACAACCACTGAACCCTTAACAGTCAAGGATAAAACAAGAGAGATCAGCGCTGGATAACAAGTACAGTTTAAGAATGACTTACAGAAGGTAATATGAAAGTATTTAAAGAAATATATTAACATCTCTGCAAAATAAACCATTTAAATTCAACACCTGAACGAAACTATATGACAGTCATACCTTCTGCTTACCAAATATAAACAAAAATTTAATATTCTGATTATTTCCTTACAGTTGTGATGACTTAGATGCGGAAGGAAGGAAATATTTGGGGAAAGCGCCAAGCCATTACCACTATATAGCACTTGGAAGGGGGGTCAGGATAAGGATTTGGGATGGGACGGGGGGGAAAGGAATGGTGCCCAACCACTTGGACGGTCGGGGATTGAACGCCGACCTGCCATTGACCCCATTGACACACCAAGCTACTGTAAATATAGACTGATTAACGGGGGTTTTAGGAAGAAAATTAAGCAATTACCAAAAGGAGGAAGACGAATTGGAGGCAATCTCGAACGTAATTAAAGAAGCACTTCACAGATAATAAGGAGTAACCAGATGAAGGAATGTCTAAAGTAATATGGATTATCAACATTATTTATCCTTGGTAACTTGCGACAGTTTCCAGGCAAGCACCAACATCTTGGCCGAGCTGGCGTGGTGACCCTTGCGGCCGTCTTCCAATAAGAAGCCATTAAGAAAAATCCACAAGGGCCGTGCCGAGGGTTCGAACAAGAATAAGTATAATACAAGTGGATATAAGTGAAGAGTAATCCAAATAGTGGATTTGTTCATTTGATGCATCACGCTATTGTGATTTGTGTGTGTCAAGTCACTAGGAGCTTTACATAACATTCCGGGTGTCAGTTGGCCATCCTTCCCAGCTGATGGCTCGCCCGTTTCTCACAAATACCATCGTCACCTCTACATTGGCCGTCATGGACCCACACTGGACCTTGGGGCCCACCCACACCGCACCTTGGGGCCCCACCCCATCCCCCACCCCACACCTTGGGCCCACCCCACCCCAACACCCCCACCGCACCACTAGCATATACGATGAGATGAACCCCTCAATCTACATATAAAACACCGACTATTTTAAATTTTAGCACATTACAAGCTGGCCACCCAACCCATCCATGCGATGGTCTACAGGATGGGCAGAGGGGGAGGGGGAGGGGGGGAGAGGGAGGTTTCCAGCGTGGCCACTGAAACTGCCACTGTCGTTCGTGTGTGGCTCAGACCATGGCCCGAAGCCACCCAGCAAAACGCACCCCCGGATGAAGCCATGAGGACACTGGCTTCACCTCACTAAGCCGGCGAGGAGTCACAATAACGTGGCTAAAGTATGTTGACCAGACCACACACTATTAGGTGAAGGGACGACGACGTTTCAGTCCGTCCAGGACCATCCTGAATCGACTTGAGAATGGGTCCAGGACGGACCGAAACGTCGTCGTCGTCCCTTCACCTTCTTGTATATAGTCTGGTGAACACCTCGCCTAGCCATTTGAAGGATAGTGAACCAATACACACGCCAGGCCAGAGGATAGACTCACCGGCATGGTAGGAGGAGAATGCATGAGCTGATTCGGGTCCTGATCATCCGGCTCTTCAACACTGCTCCACGATTCCTTTCGGTTCTTTGACTTCTTTTTCTTAGCACCTGCAGACTTAGCAGACACGTTGAGGCCATCCTTCCAGTTCTCCATAGGCTGAAGTGCACCAGGGCCGTCCTGCGAGCGGTGGCACTTGGCGGGACGCGAGTGCGGGTGCCGACGGAGGCTCGCTACTCTCCCCTGATTTGTGCTGGCGGCGAGTACCTTGTCCTAGAAAAAAAGAAGAACTCGCATTACTTCCCACTCAACTATTTTTTCAAAATAAAAACTAAATAACTCTCCGCAATGGTGGGTGTGTGTGTGTGTGTGTACTCACCTAATTGTACTCACCTAATTGTGCTTGCGGGGGGTTGAGCTTTGGCTCTTTGGTCCCGCCTCTCAACTGTCAATCTACTGGTGTACAGATTCCTGAGCCTACGTGTGTGTGTGTGTGTGTGTGTGTGTGTGTGTGTGTGTGTGTGTAAACAAGTGGCGAGTTACTTTATACACCTTGAGCGGAAGTGTGATCTCAAGTCCTTAAATGCTTCGTAAAAAATTCTCGCTACGTCACTATGTCTCGGAGCTGTGCTGGATGTGGGTGTGTAATCCAGAATAGGGACACAGGGAGAGGGGGGGGGGGGGGGGGGGTGTGTGTGTGGGGGGGGGGGGAGGGTGAAAAGTGTGTGTGTGTGGGGGGGGGGGGGAGGTTGTCTGTGGGAAAAGGCATAGGGAAGGTAGGTGGGGTGTATATATACATGTATACATGTGTGAATGTGTGTGTGTGTATATGTCTCGCCTAGCTGTGCTTGCGAGGGTTGAGCTCTGGCTCTTCCCCGCAAGCACAACTAGGTGAGTACATACATACACATATGTGTATGTATATACATGTGTATGTATGGGGGGGGGGGGGGCGGAAGGCAACACGCAAAATTTAATGAAGAAAACGAACAGAGGTCATAAAGGAGATCAAAGCTTCAAATGGAAAGGGAGAATGAAGTTGACGGGAAGACCATTGTAAAAACACCTAATGTTGTGAAGCCAACGCCGGTACAAAGGGGGGGGGTGAAGCCAACGCCGGCACAAAGGGGTGGTGAAGCCAACGCCGGCACAAAGGGGGGTGGTGAAGACAACCCCGCCACAAAGGGGGGGGGTGAAGCCAACTCCGGCACAAAGGGGGGTGGTGAAGCCAACGCCGGCACAAAGGGGGTGGTGAAGCCAACGCCGGCACAAAGGGGGGGTGGTGTGAAGCCAACGCCGGCACAAAGGGGGGTGGTGTGAAGCCAACGCCGGCACAAAGGGGGGTGGTGTGAAGCCAACGCCGGCACAAAGGGGGGTGGTGAAGCCAACGCCGGCACAAAGGGGGGGGTAAAGCCAACGCCGGCACAAAGGGGGGTGGCCGGTGAAGCCAACGCCGGCACAAAGGGGGGTGGTGTGAAGCCAACGCCGGCACAAAGGGGGGGGGTGAAGCCAACGCCGGCACAAAGGGGGGTGGTGTGAAGCCAACGCCGGCACAAAGGGGGGGGGTGTGAAGCCAACGCCGGCACAAAGGGGGGGGGTGAAGCCAACGCCGGCACAAAGGGGGGTGGTGTGAAGCCAACGCCGGCACAAAGGGGGGTGGTGTGAAGCCAACGCCGGCACAAAGGGGGGGGTGGTGTGAAGCCAACGCCGGCACAAAGGGGGGTGGTGTGAAGCCAACGCCGGCACAAAGGGGGGTGGTGTGAAGCCAACGCCGGCACAAAGGGGGGTGGTGTGAAGCCAACGCCGGCACAAAGGGGGGGGTGTGAAGCCAACGCCGGCACAAAGGGGGGGGGTGTGAAGCCAACGCCGGCACAAAGGGGGGTGGTGTGAAGCCAACGCCGGCACAAAGGGGGTGGTGTGAAGCCAACGCCGGCACAAAGGGGGGTGGTGTGAAGCCAACGCCGGCACAAAGGAAAGTGGTGTGAAGCCAACGCCGGCACAAAGGGGGGGGTGTGAAGCCAACGCCGGCACAAAGGGGGGTGGTGTGAAGCCAACGCCGGCACAAAGGGGGGTGGTGTGAAGCCAACGCCGGCACAAAGGGGGGTGGTGTGAAGCCAACGCCGGCACAAAGGGGGGTGGTGTGAAGCCAACGCCGGCACAAAGGGGGGTGGTGAAGCCAACGCCGGCACAAAGGGGGGTGGTGAAGCCAACGCCGGCACAAAGGGGGGTGGGTGAAGCCAACGCCGGCACAAAGGGGGGTGGTGTGAAGCCAACGCCGGCACAAAGGGGGGTGGTGAAGCCAACGCCGGCACAAAGGGGGGTGATGAAGCCAACGCCGGCACAAAGGGGTGATGAAGCCAACGCCGGCACAAAGGGGTGATGAAGCCAACGCCGGCACAAAGGAGGGGGGTGATGAAGCCAACGCCGGCACAAAGGGGGTGGTGAAGCCAACGCCGGCACAAAGGAGGGGGTGATGAAGCCAACGCCGGCACAAAGGGGGTGATGAAGCCAACGCCGGCACAAAGGGGGTGATGAAGCCAACGCCGGCACAAAGGGGGTGATGAAGCCAACGCACCAAGCTACGAGACAACATTAAATCCCGCCATCACTTCACACTAAAACACAAAACCAAAAATTATAGATTACATAGAGGCCTCCAATCCAGGAGGCCTATACAACACTATTTACAAAAAAAATCAACAGTTTAGCCATTATTCTGGAAGCCAATTAGAGAGCAGAAATTAGGAACAATTTCAATTTAAACAATTTATAAATAAAAAAAATTCACCCCCCCCCCCCAAAACGACATTCTAGAAATGTTATTTCTAAATGTGTAATCTAATAGGCTACGGAATAATGTCCACACTTATAAAACATTAACACCGCAAGTTAATGAACACTTACTTACTCTTAAGTGTAATTAACACGAGGCAACACAGTCTCATCAGCACGGCAGAATAATTATCATTCACATTGCTAATTACCGAGCCACGTATTAGTCAAAAATCGCACACAATACGGGAGAAACGCTAAATATAATCGCTAGTTTCTGTTCACCGCGACCGCAAGCGCACACACCGCTAAAGCTTCACTGACACCTTCACTATCGGGCAGTAAAGTGGCGTGATGACCGCGGGAGGAGCCTGACGGAGAGGGTATAGTGACAGCGTGGCGTCGCGGACCTGAATGGTCGTCAGTCAGGGCACCACACTGTCTTCTGTGTCGTAGCTCTTGCCGCCACAGACCTCAGCGCTCGGGCCAACACAGTGCTAGCCTACCGTGATCATAAGGGCTCAATTTAAGGCCCCCGACACGCGTGTGTGGACCATGAGCGCCGCCGGCCCACAGGTATTACGTGGGGCGGAGCATCACGCGGATGTGGACCGCTTCAAACCACTCCCACTCCTGTCCTCCAACCGCCCACTAAGCCCACCCACAGCCCTCCATGGGCAGTCCACACCACTCAACCATCCGTGGACAACCCAACACCATCCGCAACCATTTACAGCCAACGTCGCCCCATCCACAACCCTCCAGTCCTTACCGTCCACCACACTACCCAAAGACCATGAACGTACCCAAGTCCAAATTTACGGTTTCTATTGATAAAGGCGAAGCTTTCGTCTGTAATCAACCCCCATTAAATTCCGTGTACTATGATAAAGATACAAAAATAACATATGTAAACACACATGACATGGATGAGAGAAGTCTGCCATTGACCATTACACACTCTTAGTCCCAGTGTCGTGTGGCATTTGAGGAGTTAAAAATTAATGAAAAACAAAATTTACAAGGTCAACAACTCCCATATATTTGGAAAATTTGTCCAGGCATCTGGTAATGTAAGTCTTTTAAGTGCGTTTATGTCAGCCTGTGAGTGTGTCTAAGGTCTTCAGAGCTGGTAGACTACGTCTGAGAATGGCCCCAGCAGTCCACCCTTGAGTCAGGCTTTTCGTACTTCATCTGTTTTAGCTAACTAATGAAAATAAAAGAGAATTGTGGACTAACTAGCACCATGATTGATAGTTTGGTCAGCGTAAGGTTCCTACACTGACCGTACAAAGGCGACGCATTTGTAACCTCGTCCTCCCCCCCCCCCTAAACACAGACAAGCCTGTACTCCACTTGATACTCTGTAAAAAAATGAAACAGTTTTGCCTAACAAGAAATTTATAAACAAGTATCCACCTAACCTATCGAGGCTGACACGGAAAACGTCAATAAAGGGTGATTTAGATTTGTAATATTACGTCGCATTGTCAGCCGATTGGTTGATTCAGTAGAAATTATGACTTGCCAGGTGATTGGACAGGTTGCATAGGCACTAGTCGTGCCTCTAATGCCTATGGCCTCCCCCCTCCCCCTTATAGGCACCGAGCCAATTTCCCTTCGAGCAGTGAATCACTGCCACACCTCCTCCCTGCAGCCATTTTTCAAGGACTACCACAATTAAAGCATCACCCAGGAGAGGCCTCTTCCTCTCACTTCTGTTCCCGCCCAGTCCTGCCTTTGCTAGGCTCTTCAAGCACCCAGACATTTCCCAACGTAAATACTATGCAAATGTTTTCAATGTACCTTTCGTAGGTATATCGTAGTAGACCATGTAGTGGAAGCCCACACATGGGCTTCAAGAACCTAGAATGTTCTAGCAACACTAAACTAATGGATAACCTTCTGCTTTGGCACTCCTGGCTTTGAAATCTAATCTGACCAATCAGGAAGGGCTGTATTTGAGTAAACCAATCACAGCGCACCCAATTTTGAGTTCAGCCAATTAAAGTGAGCCATGGGGATTTGAAACACGTGCTGGAGCAACATGATGCAACATACCTCTTAGCTGCAGCTAAGGGACGGGATTATCACGAGTTGCGGCTGCAACAGAAGACCTTTATTTGTCGATAAGATCAGCAGCTGGCGTGCAAGAGATCCACTTGCTACAATCAAGCGGGTTAACACCTTTATGGGCCCCAAACGTTACGATAAATCCTGTAAACATTGCCGTGAATACCAGCAATGTCTGGTGAAAACTCCTACACTATCAAACATGAAAAAGAGCACTCCTGCTGAAGAGATTTAAAAATGTGAATTCAAAGACAATCCAGGTACACAAATGTCAGGAGCTGAGGATTTACATGCCTTAAGTCGTCTCCAATGGAAGAACTATATCGCAAGTGGCAATGGCTGGCTTGGGAAACTTCCAGCTCACCTGGAAGGGTTTTAATATTTGTTTTAAGAGTTCCTACAAGACCAAGCAGAAGAAAGTGATAATTATATTATAATAATTGTTGTATTTAATAATTATCACTCTTCCTTCTGTTTGGTCTTGAAGGAGGCCGGCCTCGAGTGAAAGAAGGCTGTGACGATCTCTGTCTGGAACCCGTAGATGCGGGACCGGGACGTCCACCTCCTGGGGCTTGGACGGCCCCCAGGCTCTGCTTCAGGAGGCTGGGGTCGTTCTTGCCTTTGCTGGGGCGGTTCTTCTCCGGCCCCGACCACAGCGGTCTCCGGGTTTGGAGGTCCCTGTGCCTTCTTTCACCAACTTCGAGGTCAACTCCGGAGCTCGCAGTTCCTGCGACGGTGCTGGAACCAATCGTATTGGCGTTTGCCTTATCATTGGAGACTTTTGGCGCCGTGGAGAGGAGGGGGGTGCATGCTGCTTGGGTAACAGCTTCTCCTGCGTATCAACCTACCCTGGAGAGGCCACTCTAGACCGACAACCAGAGCGCAACTCCATAGTCTCCTGAGACTGACGGATGCCTACTATTATTTGAGCGATGTCTAATCTGTATGTTAAAAAGACTTCATTATAGTATAGAGAGAAAGGTGGGGAGGAAGTGTGTATTTACTATTTTTGTCTGCAGGATCTAGCTCTAGCTCTTGGACCCCCGCTTTTCTAGTCGTTGGTTGTCTAATGCAATGACGACCTATTTCCCTATCACACCAGCTTTTAAAGTTATGAATGGAGTTTGCCTCGACAACCTCCTCCTCCTGGTCAGTCCATTTACTCACTACCCTCACGCTACAGGAAAACTTTCTAACATCCATATGAAACATCCAAGTCTCAAGCTTCTATCCGTACCCCTCTTGTTCTGTTGATAGTCATTGTAAACATGTCTGTTTCCACCCTGTCTATCCCTTTAAGTATTTTATACGTATGTATCAAGTCCCCTCGCTCTCTCCCTCCTACTTTATAATGTCGTCAGAATTAGCTCATTCAGTCTGTCTTTGTACCTCAACCCTCGCAACTCTGGAACGAGTCTCATTGCAAACTTCTGCAGTTTTTCGAGCTTCTTTTTTTCAGTGATCTAAATTGATTGTGCGGGATTGGTCATTATTGTATATAATTTAGTATCAAAGTACGAACATTCAAAACTGACCAGTCTCGCACACGCCGAATTGATAAGTATTAATTCATTTAATCAAGGCTAATTTTAGGCTAGTTTGTTATGGCGGAAATACAAAAAAAATATTTGCAAGTTTTTATTAACTTAAGTCTTGATGCATATTTAAGATTATTTTTTATGTACGAATGTAAATCTTTAGTTCTAATTTTTCTTGGGTCAGATTGAAAGATTAGGAATTTAGTCTTAAGACAATTTTCTTGGGTCAGATTGAAAGATTAGGAATTTAGTCTTAAGACAATTTTCTTGGGTCAGATTGAAAGATTAGGAATTTAGTCTTAAGACAATTATAACAGTCATGAACTTGGGCACAAAAAAACTAATTTCAACTATGTATATTTATACGCATCAGAGTGACAGGCGTTCTATCTCTTTACCAAGGATTTTACCAAGGGGTAAAAATTGAGAGCAGTCATAGCGTTCTCCATCAAATGCTTTATTATCATTATTATTCACATCTTTATTGACAAAATTAATTTTACAATTCTGCCTAATCTGAGGATTTCGATTAAGTCCTATTAAAGTGAGGATAATGTTGGTATTCACTGCCACGCAGGACAGAGGGTCATACATAAGACAATAGATCTAAACTGTAGGCGGAAGTACATATATAACAAATGGACAAGGACAAGGACAAGGACAAGGACAAGGACGTAACAAGACAAGCAGGCGAGGACCCAATCAGGAGTCGGCTTCATCTCATCAAGTGGACTGCGACCTTGGCAAGAATGCTAGCAAGAAAACCTCTGAACCAGACTAAATATAGCTGTATAGTATCAGTATAAAATATACATCACCCCAGTTTAAACTGGTTGAGTTAGCGCAAGTCAACTAACCGCTCACAGGAAGAGCTGTAGTACTAGGTTTGGGGGTCCTCAAACAAGATATCAATAATTTGATGTTTACATCTTAAACAACACATTGTGAAATTAAGGAAATCATCTCCAGGGTGTAATAATGGCCTCCCGCAGTGGAAGAGAAATGACTATATTCTGTATTATGACAGAATTCTATATTATGACTTATATTCTATATAAGTCATAATATTATGACTAGTATTATGACTATATTCTATATTATGACAAAATATAAGTCTTCACATAGAACAAATATGACTAAAATAATCCATGTTCGTTTCACTTCTATGTGGATAATTGGGTATAACTACAAGTGATGTAGTTTTACGTAAGTATCCACATACAAGTGATGTAGTTATGCCCAAGTATCCACATACATCACTTGTATGTACTTATCCTTGCAGGATAGTGTATTGTGATCGTGTAATGTGTTTACATTCTCCAGCAATATTTACAGAACAAAGCTGGTGAGGCCTGGTCGACGACCGGGCCGCGGGGACGCTAAGCCCCGGAAGCACCTCAAGGTAACCTCAAGGTAAGGTCTGTTAAGAGATTTACGAGAGAGAGCTGGCACTGTCCCGGGCCTGTATGCAGTCACTGAAATATTCATTGACGAAACCTGTATATCTTTTCCTCAAAGATAGCGGCTTGTTTTGTATTATTAACGGTGAAGGAGTTCCAAGTCTTCTCAACCCAAACTAACAAGCACAGACTAAGCTGCCTTGCTCTGAAAGATGTACAGGTTTCGTAATGTGGACCGAGTGGTGCGTCACCAGACCAGGCACAAGCCGAGAAGAGCGCGAGACACGTAGACACGAGGAACCGGGACAGGAAGACAGGTGTGGTCACGAGAGAACAGGTGAAGGAAGAACAAATCCCCAAGGGCCGTGACGAGGATTCGAACCTGCGTCCGAGAGCATCCCAGACGCTGCCTTAATCGACTGAGCTACGACATGGTCAAAAGGAGTTGAAACCGAAGCAGCGCGTCCTCCTAAACGTCTCAAAACGTCCAGAAAACAAAAATTAAACAAATGTCTTCTCCTAACCTAAGCCAGAGAACCCAAAACAGAAAACGGGACAGTACGTCATTTTTCACAAGCCGTACCAGGAGAAATGGTAGTTATTAATGTATCATTAGTGGAGGCCAGGGATTAGGGGGGGGGGA